TACTCATCAAAATAAAAGTAATATTTAAAAAAAAATCTAATTGACTACAAGGTTACAAAGATTTATAATCAATTAAAATATTGATTAAGAAAATAAAATAAAAATTCTTAAATTAGATTCAAATGTTGTTTTAATATAAATAATAATTTTTAAATCTTATTCAAACCCTTATCTTCTTATGACTGTATGATTAGGACTGTTAAAATGACTATTTATTCGTGAACAGCTCGTGCTCGTCTCGTTAAGCAAACGAACCGAACACAAACATACAGTTTGAACTCGAAATATAAACGAGCCGAACACGAGCTGAGCATGACTCGCTCGTATTCGACTCGTTTACACCCTTGGACACATGAGGATGACATGAAAATAATTTTTTTGTGTAGCCTTTTGCTTTCTGGCAATGGAGCCCATCTTTACTTCAAGTGGAAGAAAGAGAAATAAAGACATGCAAAGAATTTCTGTAGGCAAAAAATAAAAAGGGGATTTTTACATTCATCACCTTCAAATCTATCATATTTATTTATCTCACATCAAAATCTTTATAATTACAAATTTCATATGAAAAATAGAAAAAATTTTACATTTTCATTATTCAAAATACTAAAATAAAGTGAAAAAAGCATCTTAAAAATATTTTTTAAACATTTACATATATTTCATAATTCTTACATATTTATAATCTTATATTTAATTTTTCTATATCTATAACACTTAATTTTTTTAAAAAATTAATTTTTTTAATCAAAAGTATAATATTCTAACCATGGAAATCAAAATCTCAAACATAGATGTAAAATACAATTACCATCATTTTTTCAATTATTTTTACGGAATAAACATTCAAATTCATTTTCTTAAAATTTTTAACTTTACATATTGTCACAGGAAAAATTATTCCATACGAACACCATATGCAGAAATGCATAAAGTGTCTGATCTCTCCACCGTCCATCGATCATCAATCAACTTTTTTTTTAAATAAAAAAATAAAAAATATGATCCATCGTTGTTCATCTTTGCTGTGATAAACGAAGGAGACCGGACACCTTATGCATCCGAACAAAATAATTTTCCGAGTCATCTCGAAAATATATATACTTCATTGATTAATAATTTAATATTGATAAAGCTTATATTCCTAGCATTTTTTAACTATTACCTTTCAAAAAACCAATTACATTAAATTAAAAAAAAAATAAAAATAAATATTTAAAACCCTAACTAGAATTAGATTCCCCCTGCCAATATTTCTTTAAATCTTTAAGACTTTTTAGCGCATGATGTGACTTAATATTCTAAAAGGAAGAGAGAGCTTTCATTCCCAACAAAACGTGTGGTTGTCGATGCAAAGCTTCGCGGCGAAGTAATGCGTTTTGTGGGGGCTTAATTGTCCTTTTATGCACAATCAGAATGATTCCATTGTGCATTTCTTAAAGCAACAGACCAGTACTATAGAGTTCTTCATTAGTTTATCTTCCATGTATTTGAATTTTGATAAATTTGATCCAGTTATAAATACATAATACTGATCATATGGTTGTCGGCTGTCGACCAGTCGTGGACCATCGGTCAGTGTTATCACTACCCCCCGTCATCTCTCACCAATGCCACCACTGACTACCGTCATGCTTGTCGTTGCAATCACTGACCACAATTATGCTCATTGCATTTCGCCACACATCTGGTCACTGTCAGTACCATTAATTTTTAGAAAACTCACATATTTTAACATACGTTGTTTTCGTAGGACTTCAGATTAAATAAAAAATATCACATGAACATATTTTTGATTTGCCTACTGCTTCTTCATAACATAATCAAGATTTTTGTGCAATGTTTGCAACATCATTGTACATGAAGTTCAAATAGATTGAGGCCTTACACGTAATTTTTTTGTGTGCTTTTTAATAAGACATATACCCAAGTCGTGCATAATTTCACTTAAGTCTTGTTACAAGAGTTCTCTCAGAATCTTATTGTTCTGGAGATGTAATTAATTGTGAGGACTTAGGGTACGTTTGGGGCAGCTTGTGCGTGAAACACGGCCCGCGGGTCGGCCGCAAGGTTCGACCCGCAGCCCGCGTTTAGTGTAAAAACCCAAACGCAGTTTCGGATAAGCTGACGAAACACGCGAACCAAACAGTACAACGACGTTTTGAAAACGCCGCCTGCACTTATAAGCTGCCCCAAACGGACCCTTAATGTGACAAAACCATCTAAGACGACTTTCTATAATTTTTTCCGTCACAGGAGCTACACTGACCCTATCACGGATATATTCATTTCGCATTTTGTCTCTAAGTGTAAAGCCACTCATCCACCTAATCATTCTCATATCGGCAACACTTAACTTTGCATTATGCTTCTCTTTTAAAGGCCAACATTCAGTGCCATAGAGTAATATTTTTTGTATATATGTATATATATAATTTATAATTTTGGGTTAATTAGAGAATCAAAATAATAAAAAAGTATAGCGTTAAAAAAAAATAAATAAAAATTTCGCATTTACGGTTTCTTCTTCGCAAAACCCGTTGAAGCCAATAATTCCCTCTGCTTCGACGTGCGAGATGGGTAAAGGAGAGGCTTCAAGGATGGAGGTCGATCGTGAAGGAAAGCATAGAAAGCTCAGAAAAGTTGAAGGTTCAGATGGTCAAATGTTCCCGCGCAGGTCCGATCATCTGCAATTCATTCGCCATTTTAACAGTTTCTTTTCGTTTAATCTGAGACGAGCAATGGTTTCTCGCAGCTACCAGCTGGAAGCGCTGGAGAAGTCTAAGAAGGAGAATACGATAGTGTTCTTGGATACAGGGTCGGGGAAGACCCTCATTGCTGTGATGCTGCTACGATCCTATGCACATTGCATCAGAAAACCATCGAGATACATCGCTGTCTTTTTGGTGCCGACTGTAGTCTTGGTTCAGCAAGTAATTTTGGAGTTCTTTTTTGGTGCATTTTGTTTCTTTTTTGAGTTCTTTTCACCTATTTTGCGCTGGTTTTGAAAAGCAAGCAGAGGTGTTGGAGATGCATACTGACTTGAAAGTGGGCAAATTCTGGGGTGAGATGGGGGTGGATTTCTGGAATGTCGATACGTGGGTTGAGAAGTTGGAGACGTTTGAGGTTCGAGTATCTTTCCTAATCTCTGTTTTTGTTTTCTATGATCTTTATCTTCCTGTTTGTTGTTAGGATAATTCCAACGTGAATTTTAGTTTTCCAGTGATAAGAATAAGGTTGGCATATAAACCTACTTTGATTTAATTGCAAAAAGAAGGGAAAGAAAACATGAACTCCTTTAGAGAGAGAAGAAAACTCGAACTTTAAAATGCTAAATAAAGTGCGATTAAAGTAAGAATAATAAAACATACAGCATCTTTAATCGAGGAGAAAGATAATATAAAGGCTGATCATTCTAGACACTCCATGACTCGATGATTCATGAATGTAAAGTCCACCCTTTTTCTACCCAATCTCCTAATTTTGAAAAACATAAGAAGTGAGAAAAATGTTACTAAGAAATTCATATCATTAGTATGTTTTTGAATGAACACATTGTTTGTATAAAGCTCGTGAACATGAAGAACACTATTTTGAACAAATAGTGGGCAGATTAGGATGTCTCCTAATCCCACTACTTTTGAAAGAGAAGGCTAACGGGCTTCAACAGGGATAAGAGAAGCTCAACATAAATTAAGCATAGTAGCTGGGTTTGGAAACTGTGATTAATGTTGTGGTTAGGGAGGAAGGTGTTTGCAATAATGAAGTTTACAAGGAGAGAATACGAGCAACAATGAAGTCCCTTGAGTAGAAAATTTTCAGGGTCATAGTACTGATAATGTTTTAAATTAGAGAAATTGTGTACATAAGTGATGAGAGGAGATCAATGCATGTAACCTGACAACATTGAAAAGAAATCATTTGTGATGAACATAAATTGTAGACTAGAGAATTTGGAAAAATCGGTGCATGTGATGTAGGTGATATCCGAAAATTATCTAATAGAGAATTTGGTCTGATTGGCATGGATGACATAGGCAACAATTTGTTTGAGGTTAGAGAATTGCATTGTGCATGATTGGCATCGTTGAATGGAGTCATTAGGGCCCAACATCACAGAGGATGATATAAGTAAAAGTAGATGGCGTAGGTGATGTGGAGGATATATTTTTTATCTTAAGTTGATCTGACATAGTGAAAGAACCACATAATTGATGTCGGTTGCTAGTAAGGTCCACACAAAATTAGTGTATGCTATGAGTTGGTGACAATGCAATCGGTGAATCGGTCCTTGTGAAATTGTTTAGCCGCAATATTGTAATTGTCTAGCAGAAGTCATAATCTTTTGTGATGGGGGTCAATACTTTATTGAAGGCCAGTAGTGGCAAGGACAAAGGTTGTCTATGATAAGTTATAAAATTAGGGTTATTAGTTGCATCTTGAAAACCAAGACACAGAGAGAATGATGAAGGCAAAGAACTTTTTGGATGATGAAGATTGCGAATAATAAGAAATTAAGAAAAGAACCTAGGTCTCTAGTACCACGGGAACAACACAATGGCATGAAAAAAATTTGTATTATTCTATAAATTTTTGATACATGCCAATATATAGTGACACGGTGGCTTTTCCTTCCTCTCTTTTCTCCCTCCTTTTCTTTTCACACCTTTTCTTTTTCTCCCCTCACCTTTTCTTCCCAATCACTTTCTAAATTTAAATCATTTCATAAAATATGATATCTGATTTTATTCTCTCTTCCTATTTTAAAAAGCCTTTTCCTAAAATATGAAATCTGATTTTATTTTCCTTTTAATTATAAAACCCTTGCCTTAAAATTTGAAATATGATTTTATTTCCTTCCCTGCTTTAGAAGTCTTGCCTAAATTATGAAATTTGATATTATTCATTTCTTATTTTTTTCTTTCCTAAAATTGAGTAAAGTCCTTTATAAATAAGAGTTATTGTGCTTCAATGAGCGTCTTGATTTTGAAATCTGATTTCAATTTTATTTTAGTATTTTCCCTCCTAAGGGCTGTATTCGAAGACGACGAAGGTGCTCCTGCTATGACGCTGTCCGAGGTGGTGTTTATCTTTACTATTCTTGTTACTGCTCACTGTCCCACAGTCCACCAATGTTCCAGCTACCTCCCAGCCATCCAAACAGTTGCTCGACCTGCTTTTGTTGCCCTCTCAGATCAATGCCAGTTCATTCCTGCAGTCTCCTTGAAGGTTGTCGCAGTCCCAACTGCCCATCCAACCCACTTTTCTACAGGCTGCAACCTCTGCTATTCTTCCAGATTACATGCAGTCGTTCCTGCAGCCTCTTTATAGGCTATCACAACTCCTGCTACTCATCCAAATCGCTGTCTTCTAGGTCGTAGCCTCATTGCTGTCCTTCTAGCACCCCACCGACAGCTTCCCTGCCGTCCTGCTATCTGCCAACTCCCTCCTAGCAGGCCGCAGACCTTCCCCACGCTTTTTCCAGTGCCCACCACTACTCTAGACTCTCTCCTTGCCGAGTTTTTTGTGTTTTCGTTTGTTGAGTCTTTATCTATGATGTTTTATTTTATGCTTTAACTTACACATTATTTTTCTTTCTTTTGATTCATCGTTGTAACTGTGTTTAAGCCATTAGTAAAATGATGTATTGCATTGTGGTTTGGGTTAAACTCCGGTATAAATATGCATCAGAGCTAGCCCAACTCTAGTTCAATCACAGGGTTTCTAGCATCCACCCCTACCCAATCCACCATGCCAAATTGTTTCTCTTCTTTCTTTATTCCTTCTCTTTCCTTCCAACTGATCTTAATTCATCAAATATGCCGCCAAGGAGAACTATGCTTGAGCCTACCCGGGGGAGGAAATGCAGCGAGAGTTTGCGGACATTGAAGATGAAATCAAATGGAAGGTTACCCTTTACCGTGACTTGGAGTGTTGAAGGGGATAACGAGAAGATATGAAGATGAAACAAGAAATATAATGCCGCTTCCTGCCAACGTACTACTGCCAAAGGTTGTAGTCTCTATGGTCCGAAGTGTAGAGACCGTAACATCAAGCGACTCACCCTCACTACTATCCAACGAAACCAACTCGCAAGTCTGCCCTAACTAAAAAATGTTGCATGTGCCATGGATTTGGACATGTTGAAGTAGAATGCACAACCAGGGGAGTGATTTACTTCTCAGAGCAGGGTATCATCGAAAAATTGAGTAAAGCATTGCAGACACTGAAGAATAAATTTGTTTCACTGAGCATGGTGTTGTTGAAAATTTGGGCAACGACAGTTGATACGAAAGAAGTTGAGACTTCTGAGAGGATTCTCCACTTATTGCTAACGAGGAAGAGAAGAGACAAGTTTCAGTGGATTTTGAGATAGAGATTCTAGCTGAGGTAACGATAGCCGTTCTGGAAGGTAGTGACCTCAATGCAATGAGCATTCAAGCAGAGTATGAAACTGTGGTACCGCAACATACCGTTTCATGGGCATCGATAGGTGCTACTGTTGGATTAACCTTGACGATCCAGAAGGATCACGAGCTTGATGAGCCGACATCAGATACAGTGCCACCACAGATAAAGAAATACTATTTTTTCATATGGTTGATCTCTTCTTGATTTGTCCCTATGGGGGGAGGTCCTCTATGTCTGAAGAGGAGTCATTTTGTGCCAAGTTGGAAATATTATGGGGGATTATTCATCAGTTATATTCAGTCAAACATGGTATCTATCGCCAGATGTCCTGACAGAAGAGATGAAACCCAAATTTATAGTGGGCCCGAGGAGCTTGATGGGGACAAATTCTGTAATGGGATCCAGGTCCTATCTGTGGGGAGGAGGCCTTTATTGAGGGGGTGCTATTGAGAGTGGTGCAGCCTGCCACATATTTTATCCCATAATTGAGTTTTTCATACATACTTACCGCTCAACCGCCACATGCTAGACACGAGAAGTGAAAGGAGATGATTTCAAGTGTAAGGGCTTGAGAGTTGCATTACGAGAACCCTCCTCTATATGCAGCTCCCGCTCAGGGTGTGCCAAAAGAGGATGACTACTTATTATACTAGAATATATTGTGAAATGACTGCATCGACTTGATCAACCTACCAGAGGACTTACTGCCGTATCATGAGGATCCAGATGCTTCTTCGAATGAGGTCAAAGTTGCCCAACCTCGTGAGAATGACACAAAGGGTTTCCTCCACCTCTCCTATTTCTTTTTGGTTCTCCTTTCCTTTTTTAATCTTTCATTTTTCCCCTCACATTTTCTTCATTAGCACTTTCTAAATTTAAATCATTTTCTAAAATATGAAATATGATTTTATTTTCTCTTCTTATTTTAAAAAGTTTTTTCCTTAGATATGAAATCTGATTTTATTCTCCTAATTTTAAAACTCTCGCCTTAAAATTTGAAATATGATTTTATTTCCTTCCGTATTTTAAAGTCTTGCCTAAATTTTGAAATCTGATATCATTCCTTCCCTATGTTAATCATTCCTAAAATTGAGTGAAGTCATTTATAAATAAGAGTTCTTGTGTCTAGGGTAAGTGTCTTGATTTTGAAATCTGAGTATTTTCTCATTTAAGGACTGTATTCGACGACGAGGAAGTTGCTTTGGCTGTCACCCCATTCGATGTGGTATTTATCTTCACTGTTCTTGTTACTGCTTGTTGTCCCGCAATCCACCAACTCTCTAGCCACCTTCTAGCACCTCCGACCAGATCCAAAAAGCCGTCCAACCTATTCTGCTTCCTTGCCATATCAGCGACATTTCATTTCTGCAGCCTCTCCGCAGGTTGTCGTAGCCCCAACTGGCCATCCAACCCACTTTCCTGAAGGCCGCAACCGTTGCTGCATTTCCAGGCTGCCGCCAACGTTCTTGCAGCTTTACTGTAGGCTATAGCAGCCCGTGCTTCTCATCTAGACCGTTGTCCTGCAGGTCACAACCTCATTGTTGTCCTTTTAGCACCCCATCGACAGCTTCCTCGCCATCCTGTCATCTGCTGGCTCCCTCCCAACAGACAGTAGACCTCCCCAAGGCCTTTCCTAGTGCCTAACACCACTCTCAACCCCCTCCTTGTAGAGCAATCCATCAAACATGCCTCCAAGGGAACTATGTCCGAGCCCA